GAGTGTCTACTCATTTTTCACTTAACTTACTGGATTATAGCAAACTACTCATACTTATTATTTTAAACGTAACAGGTATTTTGACAGTTCAAATGTTTTGTTTTGCTTGCCGAAAGTGAGCGAAAAAAACATCGTACGTGTTGATGTTCTTCGAGAACCTATTCTTGGACGTTGAAGGAAATCCTGCAATCCGAGCTGATCATTCCACAAGAAATCAGCGAAGAATTGGAGAGTGTTGCTTTCGCTTTTGGACAAGAATCCCAAAACTCGGATCACCATCAAGAAGCTACTGGAGACGGAATGGATTACACAATAAATCAATTCGTCACAATTCTATTTGGGCAAAATCATCCCCTGCCGTACCGTACGAAACCAATCCGGAGGAGTACTACGTAGATGCGAATATCTTCTCCAGCCAGACGGAACTGTGTCCACGTCGCCGCACGGCCTTTCGATGGTGAAGATGACGATGAGCATACTCACATGGATGATTCTTTCATTGACCCCGACGAGATGCAGAGTAGTGCTAGTGGATTCATTTTGTTCCACGCCTCTTCCAAACTGGTGCAGATGGTCGATTCAAGAGCTGTGCGAATCATTTAGGAAAATATATTTTATGAAATCAGCTTCTATAGGTACTTACTTGCAGGTAGTCTCTTCTCATTTTGAATTACTTTAATCTGCTCCGAAGTAATGATCGGTGCGGCCCAAATATTGATGAACCCTTCGGAATCACCTACTTAGATACTTTTTTCAATTTAAACGCCTTTTTAATAGAAACTAAGCGATCGATTCAACCTCTGGTGGTGAATATGAGAACGTCAAAAAGAGTGTTGTGAGCAGAAATTATTGCCGTGAGGCATTGGAAGCGGAACACCTTTTCACTTTTCCTGATAAATTGATTCATCTGAGATGCTCACAAACTTGATCTATAGTTGAAAAATTTAATTCTGTATAATTATTGCAAGGATTCTGCTAGTGTTCAGGAGTATTTTTGTTGAGAAAAATGCAAAATTCCAATAGTGCCTTAGTGGTTATGATCTTCCGGATTTCTTGTGTGTGAATAATTTAGGCGCAAATCAGTTCAGATGTGTGGAAAATCGTAAAATAAAACAATTACTGATGGAAATTGGCAAGATGTTCAATGAAAAATGCTTTAATTTGTGTTGTGAAAAATCTTTTTTTCTGATGTAAACAAATGGTTTGGTTGACGTTTTCTCTCGAACTCGCGTGATGCCCTCTACGTTGGTGGTACATTACAAATGCCTATCAGGAAAAGTGAAAAAGTGTTCCGCTTCAAATGTCTCACGACAAAAATTTCTGCTCGCAACACTCTTTTTGACGTTCTCATATTCATCACCAGAGGTTGAATCCATCGCTTAGTTTCTATTAAAAAGGCGTATTGGGTCATGCCCCAACCAGCGGAGGCCCAACTAGCGAGCACACAACGAGCAAATTTCCGCTGTACACGCTTACTTAAGCTTACTCACCGGGTGAGTCGATCGTACTCAATTTTGTCTGAATGCATTAGGTTGTCAAATTCTGAGTAAACGAGGCCACTCAGTAAGCCAAATCCGGGACTTAGAAAAAATGCCAGCAAACGCTTTAAGAAACGACGAAATTATTGTATAACACCGGCCGAAATGTATTAAGGTAAGTAGGATGGGGAGATGGTTTTCAGTCGTCTTCAGCCCAGTTAAATGAAGCTGGTAATTTTCTTTTTTTATCAAAAAAAAAATAGGTCACTCCGCACACCAATCCTGGGTCATCTTTTTTGTCAGTGTGCCACAGGTGTGCCGATTGTGCTGGTCATAGAGCAAGTTGTTTGTAAAATACCCATCCCGGCAACCCGGTATTTCTGACACCTTGAATGTTTTGGTTTGAAATCGCAGTGATAAATCGGATTGAGGATGGCGCGGGTGTGCGAAATTTCGGTGTTTTGTGTTCATAGGATAATAAAAGTCCTGTGTTTTAAGGTTTTATAATGCCCTCAAAGGCAGATCAGAAATCTAGCCTTTCATGATGTAAAATGCAACAGTCTATTATCGGCTGGAAAGTGTTGGAACCGGTGAGGAATATGGTTCAAGATCGACTATAGAGGATGATGAATAGACTTTTGTAGTTAGTTTGGTGTGAGTTGCAGCATTATTCGAATTAAGGGTATTAATGGGGTCTGATTAACTGCCTCTGTCTCTTGAGCCCACTCTAGAACCTACATTTCGTATTTAGATCTATATGGTAACTGCTGGTCTGAGTTCCTCTGGTATATTCAATTAGAGAATGTTACTGAATGTACAGTCAAACAGCTCGTAATGTTGTGAACAACTTCAATGACAGTTGTCCAGCAGTGCTCCCATTTTATTTAAAATCATCCAATGCCTACGAAATTGTGCCGAAGATGTGCCGATGGATGTGCTTAAGCTGTGCCGAATTTAATTTCGAAACAAAGTGATGAGTGACTTTCTCCTTGGCGCCTACTCACTTTTGAGTAGCCATACTTCCCGCTGAAATGAGCATGCTCGACTCAATTTTGAGTTGTTCCGTGTTACCGTGATCAATACTGAGTCTTCCTGTTATCTGAAAAACGTCATTTTGATCGTTTGGTTTTAAAACCTACCTCAGTATGCACTGACAAAAAGATCGGTTTCGCACTGAGTTGGAACTGGTTCCAACTATTAGTGAAAAAAAACAAGCGATGACACTGATATTTGACCATGGGTCAGAACTCTGATCCGAACCATCCCTGATCCATAACCATTGACAAGAAGAGTATAATGTACACAGCAAAAAAAAAACTTTAAATATTTATGTTTGTATTACTTCAGCGTGAAGTTAACGATTTTACATAGTTGAAGATGACCACTTTAAGTCTGTTAGTTGAAACTTAGGCTGTGTTCCATTTGGTGAATTTTCACTTACATTTGACACTTCGAAAATAAATTATAATGTTCAAAAATCCCTCTGTTGTTGATCATCCGATTTTCAAGAAGGTGTTTGTCAAAATTGATTCCTGGTCTGTCAGAAATAAGTCTGGTACAATAGCAGGTTAATTTCAAAATTTTCCATCTGTCAAAGTTAAGTGAAAATTCTCCAAATGGAACACAGTCTTAGCAACAATCAATACGAAACTAACGATTTTAAATTGGCTCACTACTTGACTAGCCTATTGGTCCCAAGCAAACGATTAAGGTAGTCCATTCTAGTCGAAATTCTAGTACTACGCAATGTTTGTTTTGATTCGCTATGAAAGTTTGACAGATAAAATGAGGGGTTAGTGGATTTTCGAGGGGTGAATCAATTAGCTTGGGACCAAAGAGACTACCAGAGCTGAGCCAAAAAGTTGAGCACGTAATTTCGGGACCCTCTAGTCTTAGAGTTACCTCTATGGTCTTAGCATCTTCAACTATACAAAATGTAATATCGATCAAAGAAATTCAAGCTGATTTATGAAATCTCACGCAACACGACAAAAGGGCCTATCATTGTTGATCGATTCTCTTCATCGATTCACGATTCACGAATAACCCAACTGTTAATGAACTTCCCATTCAGTGTGTTGTTTCAGGCTCAAGCTAACATCATCTTCTGTTGAACTGTGCTGCGAGCTTAGCGAGAAATTCGTTTATGTTGCCGTGGTAAAGCAAAAAGAAAGTCGATAAAGAGAATCGATCAATGAAGATAGGCCCTTTTCAAATGATACGCGAGAAATAATGGCAAAAAGCAGATACAATATTACATCAATCAATACACGCAAAATCGATGTACATCGTACAACGAAATATTACACATCCAGTGGAATGACCTCTGTGCAGCTGTTTGGATGTAATATTCAATAACCTTTTTTTTGTGTATGCACTTTCGAGGGAAACTGGGATTACCCATAAAGTAAGAAATTGTTTCACCCATTTTGAGTAACTGTTACTCAAAAATTAATCACATTTACTAATTTCTGTAGTACTAATTACTCAGTTATGAGCTAAATTTTCCTAATTTGTTTGGGTACACAGCAAAAAAAAATGTAATATCGATCAACGTAATTCAAGCTGATGTATGAAATAATGCTGTAATAGCAAAAAGCAGATACAATATTACATCAATGGATGTAATTTTGTTCGCAAAATCGATGTACATCGTACAATGTGATATTACACAACCGATGGATTGACCTGGTTGCAGCAGTTTCGATGTAATATTCAACAACTTTTTTTGCTGTGTAGTCCGACGTTACCTCAAAAAAGCATACTTTAATTTCTAATTTGGGCACATACATAAATTCAGCAATCGACTAAATTTTCAATAGCGACCAAAAATATCCATTAGTACCGTCCCAATGACGCGTTCATCTGGATAAAATTGATAAATAGCAGATTTTTAGCGATGGGCCCAATCATAGATCCATTTCCCCTACATTAACAAAGACACGGCTTGAAATTATTCCATCCCATCATCGCATCAACTGTACATTCAAACGTTTCACTGATTTCTCACTTTCGCACTCACTCCTAACGCGCCGGTAACGCTCGCAACTGTTCTACAGTTGAAATATTTCAGGCACAATTCTCCAGGTATTTCATTCTAGCACGACACAATTGCGGCAACAAGAACAGGACAACACATGCGTCGTTCCGATGCGCACAACTTTTCTGCCTTATTCTCTCTGCTCAACTGAACCCTTATTCTCACGATCCCACATCTCACGCTCACCACATTTCGAACAGTTTCGATCGATGTTGACAGCTGCCAGCTGACACGTCCGAGGCATAATCAAAACAGGGCAGAAGACGTCAGCATACTGTCAGCTGTCAGTGAGCAGCAAACTCGACCAACTGTCACCCGATTCGAACAGTTTCCAGCCACCAAACCTCCAACACATCACTGCTTGGCTGTTTACGTGTAGCAAAGAGTAACGGAGACCGAGCGATTTTTCCTTCGCTCGCACTCCCCCGTCGTGTGGAACTTTCATTGACGACAGACAGACACGCTTCGCTTTTTCCTCATTCATTTCTGTAAAAGTCATCACCCTGGAAAGGTTGCTGCGTGGCCGCTTGTTGGCGAAAAATCGGTTTTTTTTTTCGGTGTCGGCCATATCCGAAAACCCGAATCTTACGAACGGGGAAAGTGAACATTGAGGTGAGGCTCTGGTGGTGACAAACGTTCCGGATATAGGAATTTTCCCTGCACCTCGGCAAACGAGGTTCGAATTTTAGGAATAAGAAGAAGAACTAACCCAGCAGCAAAATGGGAAGTAAGTAGACGTGTGACCTAGAAACTTCGGATTTTGGCCTGATATTAATGGTTTCCATTGTCGTTTTCCAGTTAAATTCCTGGAAATCATCAAACCCTTCTGCAGTATCCTGCCGGAGATTGCCAAACCGGAGCGGAAGATTCAGTTCCGGGAGAAGGTACTCTGGACGGCGATTACGTTGTTCATCTTCCTGGTGTGCTGTCAGATTCCGCTGTTCGGTATCATGAGCTCGGATTCGGCCGATCCCTTCTACTGGATCCGTGTCATTTTGGCTTCGAACAGAGGAACGCTGATGGAGTTGGGTATTTCGCCGATTGTCACGTCCGGATTGATCATGCAGCTGCTGGCCGGGGCGAAGATCATCGAAGTTGGTGACACTCCGAAGGATCGGGCCTTGTTCAACGGAGCGCAGAAACTGTTCGGAATGGTCATTACGATCGGTCAGGCTATCGTTTACGTCATGACGGGAATGTACGGAGATCCAGCGGAAATCGGAGCCGGTGTTTGCCTGCTGATTATCATCCAGCTGTTTGTGGCCGGTTTGATTGTCCTGCTGTTGGACGAGCTGCTGCAGAAGGGATACGGACTGGGATCGGGTATTTCGCTCTTCATCGCTACCAACATTTGCGAAACGATCGTGTGGAAGGCATTCTCGCCGGCCACGGTCAACGCCGGAAGGGGTACGGAATTCGAAGGAGCTGTGATTGCTCTATTCCATCTGTTGGCCACCCGCCAGGATAAGGTTCGCGGCCTGCGGGAAGCTTTCTATCGCCAAAATCTGCCCAATCTGATGAACCTGATGGCAACGGTGCTGGTCTTTGCGGTGGTCATATACTTCCAGGGCTTCCGTGTCGATCTACCGATCAAGTCGACCCGCTATCGCGGCCAATACAGCAGCTATCCGATTAAATTGTTCTACACTAGCAACATCCCCATCATCCTGCAGTCCGCGCTGGTTTCGAATCTTTACGTCATTTCTCAGGTTGGTATTCCGAAGAGTTAGATCTCCGGCAGCACTTCAAAAATTCACTTTCCATTCCAGATGTTGGCGGTGAAATTCCATGGTAACCTGTTGGTCAACTTGCTCGGAACGTGGGCTGACGTTAGCGGTGGAGGCCCTGCCCGTGCCTACCCGATCGGCGGTCTTTGCTACTATTTTTCGCCCCCGGAAAGCCTAGGTCACATTCTGCAGGATCCGATCCACGCCATGCTCTACATCGTCTTCATGCTCGGCAGCTGTGCCTTCTTCTCCAAGACGTGGATTGACGTCTCCGGCAGTTCGGCCAAGGACGTCGCCAAGCAGCTCAAGGAGCAGCAGATGATCATGCGCGGTCATCGGGAGAGCTCGATGATCCACGAGCTGAACCGGTACATCCCGACGGCAGCCGCCTTCGGAGGTCTCTGCATCGGTGCCCTTTCGGTTACGGCCGACTTTATGGGAGCCATCGGTTCCGGAACCGGTATCCTGCTGGCCGTCACCATCATCTATCAGTACTTTGAGATCTTCGTCAAGGAGCAAAGCGAGATGGGAGGCATGGGAACGCTGCTGTTCTAAGTTCGGGTAGCCCTACATTCTAGTTCATCCATCACCACCACCACTACTAGTAGTTTGATAGTGTAACAGTTAAACAGTGTGTTGATTTGTTTTCTGTTTTTCCGAAGATAAAACAGCTTCATCCGTTGAATCATGAAAAAGATTATAACGAGTAAATTAAATCGAGTTAATGACATAGCAGTTACAACGGTTTTCATTTGAAAGCAGTTTTTGGTAAGACGTAATTTATAAACGAAAAATAAAAATAAAAATCGAGAACATACAAATTGATGAAATTTAGAGTTCGGAAAAAAAGCAATAGACACGAAGAGATAACAAAAAAAAAATACAAAGTCGAAAGCGACGAAGAAGATGATGGGAAAAAAATTGAAAGAGATTTTAAGACTTTTCCTGTATCCAGATATAAGATAAAGAGAGCATTTTTTTTTGTGTTTGTTTATTTTGTGAGATGAATAATAACAATAAAACTTTCGAAAACTACCCCGTCAAGTGGTTTCAGTAGCTAAGCTATATAGAAGATTAATCCATTTAACCGTTCAAAGATGCAGGGCTGGCGGCAGATCACTATTTTCAATATTACAGGGCTGAAGTTTAGTAAACTCCAAAAATAAGGGGAATATTAGGGTGAAGTTCCATTAGTTTCAGAATATTAGCGGAATATTTAAAGAAGTTCTCAGATCAGAGATGTTGAGGAAACTATTGAGGTCTTCACATAAGTTCAGACGTTCAGGGAAGCTTAAACATTTTTAGGTCAGTTGTCGACTGATTGTCAAGCAATTTTCTCAAAGATTCAAGGTGCAGTGCCTACCCGTTTTTGGCAGCACAACCCCATCAGCTTTCCTCAGATTTAATTAGTGCTTTCTGGACATTTTTTTTTTCATGAAATAACACATGGACCTCTAAATCCAGTACAATTTCGAATTGAATAAAGCAAAAAAGACAAATCACGTATTGCCAAAAATGGGAAGGTACCACATTTTTTTTTTAAATACACACATTTTAAACGTTGTAAGCTCCAGGTATGCAGTTTAAGAAATAATTGGGATTATACTATGATTGTAAGCGATGTGTGAAGGAAACTGCAACCATCTCGATATAAATCTAAAAAAAGGCTTGCTTAATCGCTGAAAGGTTTCCGTTTCTTAAGTTAAAGATCCATTTCTTACTTCGATTTACTCACTAGTAAGAGAAGAGGTCTTTCGCGTGGCAGTTTTCTCACCCTTAGAGCACCCTGACCAATGCGTTGCTATTCGGGCTGCTAGTTTGACAACTTTAGCCATTGCTATTTTAGTTAGCAACTTGTTTACGCACCGGTTGTTGCTATCACGATTGTGAATTTACGTTTTAGGCTTTCGCACCGATAGTTGCCAAACTTATCGTCGAACTTCGAACTGAAATTGATCACAGAGTTTCGTGATTGTTTTTTTTTTTCGACAATATTGATATACCTAACCACGAAGACTGAAGATTGAAGGTTAAGATCCAACTACTGACCCAGATACTCAAGAAACCAGCGACCAGCGATTTTTTTTAAAAATCACTTGTTGTGATGCTACATGAATAAATTTGAACCTGGGACCAGAATGCGCACACAGGTGGTCACGAAACTGTCCTGTGAGAGATCCGGAACATCAATAAAAGTGGTCAATTTGTAAAAATAATCGAAATATCGATCTTCGTATGCTCATCTTATAAAGGTTGCGCACCAAAATGCATAAAGGCATTTCCGGATGCCCACCTGAATTACTAGATTACATATTTTAGCTTGTTAATGTATCAAGCTCGGTTGGTCGAATTTAATACGGTACATCTATTAACATCAGAAAAAATTGAAACCTTTAAGAAGTTCTGATTGATAGAAATGTGGGGAAGTTAAAAGATCTTTAAGCGAGTCTTTAAGAGTAAGTTTCGACAGCTCCAGGGCAATTTAATAGATTTCATGACAATTTACTTCAGCGAAGATCAAGAGCTTCAGGGCAGTTCCATTAAATTCAGGAAAATTTAAGCTTAAAGACATATGATTAAGTTACGTGAACTTCGGGTAAGTTCTGAAAATGTTAGGGCAGTTCCTTTAATATCAGGAAAACTGTGAGAACTTGAGGGACGTTCCTAAAGCGTTAGGTTTGTTTCGAGAACTTTATCGCTAATCCATTTATTTCAGTAAAATAGAGGAAACCATCAAGAAGTTCCGAAAATTTAAGGATAGTAAAAAAACTTCAGGGAATGAACTTAAAAACATTAAGAAAGCTACACAGAAGATCCATGTTTGAAGGGAAATTTAAAGATCTTCTGGGCAGTTCCATTAATTTCTGAACAATTTCAGGAACATCATCAAGAAAACATAAGGGAAGTTCCGTAAACTTCAGGAAACAAAATAGATCTTCAGCAGAGTCTGAGGAATGAAAAGAAGTACTGATAAATTCTGGAAGTTTCATAGGCAAACTGCGGGAACAAAAAGAAAGAACCGCAAAATTTCTGGAAATTTTTGTGAACTTCAGGCAAAATAATTTCAGAGATTTGGAGATAAATCGAGGAATATTGACATTTTAAAAAAAACTTCCAAGTACCTCAAAGAAGTTAATCTAGAGAGCTTTAGGGAATTTCAGAGATATCAACGGCACTTCCAATAACTTCATAACTTCGAGAAATTCAAGAAATTCCAGACTTTCAGGGAAGTTCGAGCGTAAGCTCCGAGAATTCCGGTCAATTCACTAAAATTCAGACAAACCTCGAGATTTTTTTTGACAGTAACTAAATATCAGGGTAGTACCAAGAACTTCGATAGATTTGAGAGTACTTCAGGAATGAAAAAAAAAACAAATAAATAAATGAATAAATAAATAAACTAATTTCATGGAAATTGAAGAATGTTTAAGAAGTTCCAAGAAACTCAGGGAATTTCTGAAACTTCATCAAAGTACCAAGACCTTTATTTAAATTTCAGAAACATAAGAGATCTTACATGAGCATTAGGAAAATGTGAGATCATTTTAAGGAAGTTCCGTGGGAAGCCCAAATAAAACTAGGATTTGACTACTTTTGCGGATGTTCAAAATCTTCCAGAGAACCACACCGCTACCTGATTGCATATGCTAGCCCCCTTTACGGATGTTCCGGATCTTTTGAAGGGCCGTTCCATGGCCACCAGATTTCACATATTTGTTTCAAATCCAAATTCATTCATGCAGCATAACAACAAGTTCATTGAAAAAATCTAGATTATTATTATTATTATTATTATTTGATATAATTCATCTGACACTTTTTTGTCTTAATGAATAACATAATGTAGGGTTCATACAAATATACATAAATAAAATTACACAAATTTAGTCAAGTATTACGAAAATGGTCAGTAAACCGTCGTTGCAGCGTGGACACCGGTACGTTGAAGTCGAATAAATGAAAAACTTCATCAAAGGTAGCTGACATAAATCTAACCGGATCATGCTGTCCATATGGGGTATTGCGGGGTTCAAACTGTAGGAAATTTCGTCGTCGTAGTAAACGTTCGGGGGCGTAGATATTCATTCTTGCTAGTAAGGATGGTGAATCAATGTCATTCCTGAGGATTTTAACGACGAACATCGCTTGAGCAACTTGACGTCTATTTTTCAGCGTTTCTATTCCGAGTAGTTGACAACGATCCTGGTATGGTGTCAGATGCTGAGGATGACGCCATGGAAGGTTCCTGAAAGCATAACGTACAAACTTCCTCTGTACAGATTCGATTCGTGTAATCCAACTATCGTGATAACCAAACGATTGCTCCAAATTCCAGAATTGACCGTACTAGAGCACAGTACAATGACCTCAAACAGAAAACATCACAAAATCCACTAGCAATTTTCATAATGAATCCAAGCTGCCTGTTTGATCTAGAGATGATGTCATCATAGTGGAACCGGAAAGTGAGTTCTTGATCGAGACTAACTCCCAAGTCTCGAATACGTTGTACCCGCGCTAGAGGTTGCCCGGATAACGAATATGGATATACGATTGGCTTGAACTTTCTGCTGAACGTGATTACCTGACCTTTCTCGATGCTGAGAGTCATACAGTTCCTTGTGCACCAGTTTTCGAAGAATTTCAAGATATTCTGCAGTTCGAGACAGTCTTCAAAGCTGTTTACAATGACGTAGACTTTAGCATCATCAGCATAGAAAAGTTGCACTCCCGGTGGCAGAATCAGTGACACATCGTTGATAAACAAGGAGAACAACAGTGGTCCCAGGTTGCTCCCTTGTGGTACGCCAGATTGATTAACGAACATCATCGATTGACTTGAACCGATTTTTACACACAAGGATCTGTTGGTTAGGTACGACCTGAACCAATCCACTGAAGCAGACGTTACACCAATCTTCTCCAGCTTCTTCAGAAGGATGTTATGATCAACCCGATCGAAAGCAGCCTTCAGGTCCATGTAGACAGCGTCCACCTGCTTCCCAGAATCGACTGCTTGAATGCACAGAGAGGTAAATTCAGCAAGGTTTGTTAGCAACCGACCTTTTTGGATAGAATCCATGCTGATCAACCGAAATGTAATGTTTAGAGCGGGCAAAAAGAACGTCGTTCACGATGATTTCAAATACCTTTGAACATGCACACAAGGAGGTTATGCCACGGTAATTGCTGACATCTCGTTTATCCCCCTTTTTGAAAACTGGAAACAAGAATGATGATTTCCAATTCGAGGGAAACACTCCTTGTTGAAACGAAAGGTTGAAGAGTTTCATCAAAGGTTGACATAGCGCAGAAGTACATCTTTTCAGCATCGCTGAAGGAATTCCGTCAGGTCCAACAGATAGCGAGAATTTCAGTTTACTTATTGCCCTCGCAACCTCATTTTCATCGATGTAGAAATTGTCGAAGTCCAAGACGTCCTGTGGAGTATCTCGAACTGCCTCTTCAACTTGAGCAGGTTGCGCAGCGAAATTATTGAAGGACACTTTGAATTGGGATGCAAAGAGTTCACATTTTTCAGCAGTTGAGTCAGCAGACAGATTTCCTAGATACATTGACGAAGGAAGACCTTCTTCGTTACGTTTAGATTTGACAAACGACCAAAATTGCTTCAGGTTGGTACGTAGGGTGCGCTGCATCCGAATTATGTACCGAGCGTACAAGAAACGGTTGTGGTTCCTGTATGCTCGGCTTGCACGATTGAACTGTAGTTTTAAGTGCAACGAACGACTGCTGCAATATTTTCGAAGGGCCGAAGAACGGTGGCATTTAAGCATTCGCAAGCGATTGGTTGACCAGGGTGGTTTCTGTGCAGCTCCAGCAAGAGGTACATGTTCAGCGATAATACTGCTTACAGCGTTCGTGA